ACACACACCATTCTCCTTGCAAACAGGGACCAGACAAGGATGCCTACTGTCATCACTTCTATTAAATATTTTATTGGAAGTACTTACTGGGGCAATATGACAAGAGAAGGAAATAAAAGGTCTCCTGATTGGCAAAGAGGTGTTGAAACTGTCACTATATGCAAATGATATGGTAGTTTGCACAGAAAACCCCAAATACTCAACCAAGAAACTGTTAGAGCTAGTAGACCAATTTAGGAGAGTGGCAGGATACAAGAACAATATACAAAAGTCAGTGAGATTCCTCTACAGTAACAAAGAGACCTCAGAGAAGGAAATCAAGAAAGCAATATCATTTATAATAGCCAACCACAAAGTGAGATACTTAGGAATAAACCTAACTAGAAATACAAAGAACCGTTACAATGAAAACTACAAAACACTTTTATGAGAAACAATAAAAGATCTAAATAAATAGAAAAATGTTTCCTGTTCATAAATAGGAAGACTCAGTATAGTGAAAATGACAATCCTACCAAAAACAATCTACATTTTTAATGCAATCCCAATACTGATACCAAATTCATTTTCAAAGAGATAGAAAAGACAATTAGCAAGTTTACTTGGAGAGGAAAGAGATCCCAAATAAGCAAAGCACTTCTGGGAAAAAAAATAAATAAAAATGAAGTGATAGGCACAGTACTCCCTAATCACAAAACCTACTATACAGCTGTAATAACCAAAACAGCATGGGACTGGTACAGTTACAGGCACATAGACCAATGGAACAGAACTGATAATCCAGAAATTCTATCTATCGTCAGAGCCTTCTATCTCTGGTTAACTAATATTCGACAAAGAAACAAAACTTATCATATGGGGAAATGACAATCTCTTCAGCAAATGGTCTGGAAAATGGGACAGCTAACTGTAGAAAGCTGATGCAGGACCCATATCTCATAACAAACAAAAAAATCAACTCAAGGTGGATCAGAGCCCAAGGGGTAAAACCTCAAACAATAAAGATCATAAAAAAGAAAGTGAAACCACGATTAGGAGGCCTAGCCTCCTAGCCTATGGTATAAAGATGTTGACAAATACAGCCAGAAATGCACAACCAGGAGAGGGTAAAATTGACGAATGGGACCTTTTTTTTTTTTTTTTAATTTAGGTTGTTTCTTTTTCATTTCAACGAACATCTACAGAGATTTTGGAATTCCATTCATTCATTGTTGCACCCTTCTCCCCGCACAAACCCC